AAAACAAAGAAAATCAAACGACAAACGAGAAAAGTGTCGCGTCACCTGCGCTGGTAAGGTGTTCGGTCCATTATTCATCTAAGTGATATGCCGGGGAAAAAGAGAAGAATCGTTTCAACTAGCCAAAATAACGAAATATCTGTTCTCTTTAATGCCTGCAACAGTGAGTGAAACTTAAGATAATAAAAATTGGAGTAGGAGATATAAAAGTGACAACATAACGAAGCAAATCGAGAAGAAAAAACACGAAAATAATTTATTACCCATGAATTACAGCGGAGCGTAGTAGGAGGAAAGGGAAGATAAAAAGATTATGAAAAGTAAAGCGTTTAGAATGCATTGTCGAGGGATGGGCTGTTGTGCAGCCGCAGACAATTGAGCAATTATCCATTCAAATTGTTTTGAGCGTTTTTAGTGATCATCTCCGCTGTCCTCTTCTTCTTCATCCATGTCATCGGTTCGCAGACCACACGATCCATCATTGATATATCGCATTTCATCTTTAGCGCGCTAAACAAGATCATGACGCTAAAACTAATTAGCCCATGCTTAGACCCATGTTGATAGTTAGTTCATTAATCCAGTTTTTGAACGTTCATCTTATTTGAAATTTAGCGAAATCGAGAAAACCTGGGAAATTTTGTTACAGAGGCAGACCTAACAGCAATCATTGAGTTCACAATAGAAGCGAATGGTCTCCATTATCACGAGAACTGCGCTTTAATCTTAAACTCTGCTATCAAGAAAACGCGTACGTTTGCGAAAGAGGCCACCTTACACCACTGCTGCTGAGTCATGATTGTATCTACCGATAACATTTTTTTAAAATAAACAAAATAAAGCTTTCATGAGCAAATCCTCTACTAGCGACTTCTCTCATAGTTGTCGTTCTCATTGATTTCAAAATTATGATAAATTCATCTTTCACAAGGAAGAGAATGATTTTCAAGCAAACCTGATTCATTCTCTTCTGTTCAAGTATGGCCAACAAAGAATGTTCCATAGATGGACAAACTTCATGGACCCAAAGTGGATCATCCCATTTCGAGGGTAGCGATGGTGCGTGGAAGGGATACATGAAGGCCATCACTTCTGAATTTAATTTCTATTAAACGGAGAAAAAGAAGAATGTGAACTTGTAATTTGAACTAAAAGAAGAATCTCTGTCATTGCCAAGATAAAAATTTTGTTTTAGATTTAGACTTTGAAGAGAGAAGATAACAAAAAAAGACAAAATAGTCGTACATAGATTTACAATCTGAAATATTATCTTTCGATATATGCAACGAAAAACGTTAGAAAACAGAACACTAGAAAAATACAAACTTTATTAGCACATTATTACACCTTCAAATATATCGATCATGATTGGCGAAGATAACTTTCACATTAAAATTCTATAAATTGATATCAAGTTTCAAATTTATGTTTACAAAAGTTGTAAAAGCAAGTGTATTGAAGCTATGCTTGAGATGTTGCTAAACGTGAATGTAAAATTAAGACATGCAAATTTAATCATGCTCGAACGATCAATATTGATTTTCCACAATCAGCGTAAACTTTGTCTATCTGGTAGTTCAGTCATGATGGTACGAGAAGAACAATTTTTACTCATCTCCGGTGTCCTACAAAATGCATGGTCAGATTCTGGTGTCTTTCCCTTATTTCCAACCACCTATTCTTTCTCTTATTTCCAGCCGCCTATTTTGGATACATTGTTGGCGTTACTCTTCCATAAGTTCGCCCTTTTGTAATTTTTAAATTGCGCGAGTTGATGTGATATTACACTAGTGAAGCAAACAATGCAAGGAAGAGTAACTAAAAACAAAAGGCTCAATTTCTAAACTTTTAAAAGTCAGATTTATGAGAGGTGTACCAAACAGAGAGGTTCTCTGGTTAATCAAGTAAATTGGTAATTAATGAATTTCATGTAGAATTATCCATTTACTGTAGAATGTGCAACTGAAAGTCAAGGCTTTATGTAGACGAAAAGCAAAAAAAAAA